TCTCATCACATGCTGAGTCAGTATGTTTTTGAAAGCTCAACGACTAGCTCCCAAAAAGCTAAGGTTAGCTAAAAACGAATTTGATCACATGATAGATTTAGGAATTATTCGTCCATCAAACAGCCCATGGGCATCTCCATTACACATAGTCCCTAAAAAAAGAGCAACGACTGGCGTCCAACTGGTGACTATCGCCAATTGAATGTGAAAGCAGTTTCTGATCGTTACCCGTTACCTCACATTCACGATTTGAGAGCTACCCTGAAGTGTACAACTGTTTTTAAAAAATCAAGTTGGTCAAAGCATATAACCGAGTTTCCATGGTTGGTGACGACATTTCTAAGACATCTATCATCTTTCCTTTCAGTCTCTACGCGTTTTTGTGCATGCCTTTCGGCTAAAAAAAATTCTGCACGAGCCGTCCAAATGTTCATCGATGACGTCTTTCGAGGCCCAAACATCGTTCATGTGTTTGTTGACGACTGCTTGATTCCAAGTCACGATAGTGAATTTCATCTCCAGCATCCAGGCCTTGCCTTCGGACGATTACAAAAGCACGGCGTTACTTTAAACACTCAGAAATGTAAAATCGTAACCAACTCCATAGATCTCCCCGGACACACTATTGATGCTCAAGGCACCTGACCTCTGAAAAACAAAGCGGCGGCCATTTCGGATTACCCAGAACCGACCAAAAGAAAGTAATTAAGTACGTCTAACGGACTAGTGAGTTTCCATAAACGATTCATACCGAACTGAGAGTCCCTCAAGAGAACTTTAACTGATCAACTTTGAGGAAATGGGAAATCCATCAATCTGGACGATATCACGTGGGAAGTATTCTCTGAACTTCAGGAATTTATCGCAAAAGCAACCACACTTGCTCACGAGGACATCAAAGCACCCATTTGTATCGCAGTAAACGCATCCGACTCGGCAATCAGAGGAGTCTTACAAAAATGGGTTAACCTCATCTGGCAACCTTTGGCATTCTTCTCAAGGCGGTTGCTAGACACCGAATCGGTAGTGAAATCCCAGATATGTATTGGGCTGTACGGCACTTTTAACACTTTGCTGAAGACCGAGAATTCACTCTTTTCACATGTCACAAACCTCCTACCTTCTTTTTAGGCTCAGCCTCAGACAAGTACTCTCCTCGAGAGTCTCGACAACTGGACTACATTTCTTAGTTTACTTCGGAAATACAACATATTTCTGGGGCAAATTATGTAGTTGCAGACTCTTTGTCTCGTATAGGTTCTTTTAACAGTTTTCAAGGAATCGACCTGCTTAAATTCACACAGCTTTAAAATGAAGACGCTAATCTTCAGCATGAGTTATTTTCGACAATCCTGAAACAACGGAGAAGACAGCTGTGAAGACGAAAGAAACTTTAATGTGCGACACACGTACAGGTAGTGCCGAGGTATTATCGACGCGACTTCTTCAATACATTGTACATAGTTTCTCATCCGTGTTTATGCAACCATCAAGCTCATCGCAGAACGATATTGCTGACCTGGAACAAATAAAGACGTGTGGAAGTGGGCACGCTCCTGTGTAAGCTGCCAAAAATCTAAGGTGTTTAGGCACAACAAATGTCCCTTCGGCTCATTCAAAACTAACGATGCTCGTTTCGACCATACTTATCTGGATTTGGTAGGATCTTTACCAGGTTCAAATGGATACTCTTGTCTTTTGACTTGCGTAGACCGTTTCACTCGATGGTTAGAACGAGAGATCATCTAGGATCATCTAGGAAAACTGGTTATTAGAACACTGTCGCCGACAGCCTAAAGCTTCACTCTCAGCTGCAAACGTTTTACAGTGGACCGACGGTCTTCCGCTCGTCTTCATTTTCACAATTCAGGGGAAGCTGACATCGGGTATACTGAAACTCAATTCGTTTATAGGACGACAATCCGACAACCAGGAGATTTCCTAGATCTTTCATCTTCTTCAATGAATGTGGATGTAAACTCCTGCACGAACGCAAGCGTTCAGTTAAACCTGTTTCTACTCGACAACAGTCAGCTGATGTTTTTGTTCCACCTGCCCTGTGATATAGTACACACGTCTTGATGATTACAGTTTATTACAGCGACGACAAAGAACTCCTCGAAGTTCTTCAGCGTGAAACTGAATACTGTATGATCGATAAGAACGGAACTAACGATAGTATCAGTATCGATCGCATGAAAGCAGCGTATTTAGACGGAAACTATATTTACGTCGATTTCCCTTCGGTACAATCGAAAGACACCAGTTTTACACTTACGATACCTCATCCGACAGCTAACAACCACGATGATATTTTGACGGTATCTGATAACACAAAAAACACGTTCTGGAAGAAGAGTAAGGTTTCCAGAACGTTCAAAAGATTATTGCGCGTAAGACACTAAATAACATTTTGTTTCGTCTCGATTGTTCTTTGTATTATACGTATTAATATGCTTAGATATATATTCCAAAGAAACAGAATTTCTGTTACTGATATGACTTTCATGGTATCTGTTTCTTTGTTACTATATTGTACTACATGGCCTCTTATAGTAAGAAAAGACGATCAGTCGCTGCTGAACATAGCAAGCTATCATAGGTGTTTACCAACGACAAATCCGTCGGGTTTAAACTTCAGATTGGCCATGTCCCAGAGTCATCATTACCCCAAAATAAGGGGAGTGATATGTAGCGGTAAACAAATCCTTAAAATCAATAGTTCTGTAAGTATCCGACATCGGATACTGACTATATTAGTTTTAACGGACTCAAATAGCTGAAGGACTCGGTCGTGCATCCTCACCAGATCATGAGTGAGAATGCCATGCTCATATTCTGTAACCGCTAGCCAGTTTAGATTAGTCACTTCATATATTGATAGCTTATCCTATATATCTTTGAACCTCTTCGCTTCTGAATTTTAATTTCATTGGGTGGACACATTTCAGTTGTAGAAGGAGTTACTAGTTAAGGCGTTATCAAACTTCAAATACTCATGGCATCTTCATCATTTTGTACACCGACTCGTCTCTTCGTAACAACCAGCAGTATGACGTTTAACATTTCTGAAGAGCACATTCGGGCCAGGTAGGAAGTAACATATAACATAGAACAATCGGTTATACAGAGCGGCCACGCCTGCATAACCGAACCATGCCATTTTGATCCCTTTTTGCCTCCACCGTTGTTGATTTGCTCTCCATGTTGCATGTTAAATATGAATGTCCTCAGTAATTTTACACTCAGCTTCAACAGTCTTGTGGTTATGAACAAATGCCACTGCATAGCCATATCTAGTGATTTACTTCTCTTTTGCCGAATAATGTTGTTGGTTACTGCATTCACGAAACCATATATATCGCAAGGAGAAGGAAAAAATCTTTCATTTGTATCTTTGTGAGTCTGCAGTTTCTAGTACAAATACACACTCACATGGTCATCCTAGATTTTGAACAGACCTTAGTAACTCCAACTGTATGAAACTTATAAGTCTTTTTTAGCTTCGTAATAATTTTATTGTGTTCATTGACAAATATAAACATCAGAACACACGTCTTGTCTACATATCATCGTACTTCTCAGTTCATGCGCCTCGCGGGTACTTGTATATCTATGTCTATCATCCATTTTTATGTCCAATGTTTGTCTGTTTATCATATTATCCGTGATCTACTTTGGGCCACGTTAACGCTTGTAGTGAATAGCATAGTACGTTTACCTTCTACGGTCTGTTTCTCCGCTTCGTTTACCTTGCCTGTACGGGGTAGAGGGTACATGAAATATTCATGTCGGAAATTCACTCTTGTGTTCGACATATTTCGCTATTTTCTAACAGTAATGAAGTCCATATCTCTGTGCGATGATAGCCGGCACGTATACTTCGTTAACATTAACAAGCGATTAAGTTGGGATCAGATCAACGGGTGCCCTTAAGCCTATGGAATTGTGAGGTGAAAGAACCCGGTGACTTTAGATGTTAGAAGAGATCATCATTGGTGATTGATTCATCTTCGACTTTTTCAGGATTGTAGTCAGCTCACATTTGGTTTGATTAGTAGGATTTCTTTCCACTGGCTCCCTAGAGAATTTACAACGACATCGGGTATGGAAAATTACTGATCAATGTGGTATTTTCGATCAGTAAGAGAAATCTAAAAACCTTCACCTGGGTAAAGTTATAGTAAATTTTAATTTTTTAGATCATAAATGTAAAAATCATGCTCCCATTATAAAAGCTGGGTTGTAGAACTTTATGGATTGGCAGCATAAGCGACTATTGATTTGAGCTGCTTGAAATTATAGTCAGAAATCGGGATTAACTCAAATGCTGGCTAATTTGAATTTTCGGATTGTGAATAGTAACAAAACAAGATGAAAGGCTAAAAAAGTGTTATGGATGATGCCATCCAGGGTCTTGACATCATACATTTATATGAAGATAAGTGGCCTACATATTCTTCAGGAATTCGAAGGTCATGCATTTCTGCCTAAGACCAAGGTCTATCTACCTGGGAGGAATTCGTTACATGTTTTTGACTAAATAAATTGACTGCATTTATTATTTTGAAGAGTATAGCTAATTCCTCCGTCCATAATGTTTATAACTTAAAACAGCAAGAACATCAGCCTGTAAATATAAGCTTCCCTCTGTATACAGGTAGAACTACACACTTTTTCGGTAATATGGAATTTTATGTTAGAACACTAAAATCTTGAAAAATGTAGTAAGTAAGAGACTCATAAATAAGCGCTTGTGGCTAGTTCAAGCTTATGCTGGACTTTAATATTAGAATTATTTGAAAAACCCAAAAACATGAGAAATCTGACAGTTCTGTTTGAAGTCCAGTGAACTCTGATGAGTGTTTGAATTTCAACTTGCAACAATTACCTTAATTTATACCTCTTTTCTTTGAATCGCAATAGCATATCCCATAAAGAAAATATTGAATGTAAATTTTCTGTTTTGTTTATTCAACTCAACTTTAATTAACCTATGCGTAGTGTTGGTTTTAACTTTACTGGCTATGGATTATTATTTTGTCAGAATATATAGGACGCCTTATTATTAGAAAGCCTTCATAAGATGGGTGAGAAAACATTTTTTAATAGTTTGCTGTGATGTTTTGCATTTGTGATCAATTTTTATTCAGTTTCGAGACAAAAAACGAGATATAATTTACAAAGCTTTTGTTCATCATTAAAACAATGTGATGCATGCTCCATGAATCGTTGAAAACCTTATTGAGAGTTGACTATAACTTGGTATATGTTTGGATAGTTGCTGGGGTATATGGAAGTTTTGTTAATCATATGCAGTCACTCGTGGACTGATTTTTATTTGATCAGTTCAGAGTATTACTAGTTAATATTTAAGTAACCACGAATTAAGCATAAAATGAGAAACTTTTAAGTTGATCCGTGGCATTAGTGTGTGAAAACTATCCGTGAGTGCTATTTTTTAGTCGGTATTTTGATAAACTAACTGATGTTGAGTTTTAAAAAAGCACCATGGTTTTGGTAGAAATTTTAAAAGTCGTCTAAATTTATCGACAAGGACGTTTTTAATACGTATTCTCAGTAGTTATAGACTGAATACAAGGTAAAAGTGTTGTTAACTCATCACATAGAAGTTGCGTTTTTGTTGACAGTATACAGAACAAGGTACACGTAAGAATATAAAGCAGAGAAAAAAGAACGAAATGCCGAAGAAAAAGCAAAAATGAACACAATGCTTTTGGAGCCGATCATAGAGTCACCTGACTGCATATAGACATGAATTCAAGGCGACATTGTGACTGAAAATCAAAGTATTAGAAGTTCCCTCTTGGTTGTTTTTGGTGTGAGCTAAAACCTGCAGCTCCGGAGGTTTGTAGGAATCTCCAAATCACTTTTTCACGCTAAGATGAGTTTGGTTTAGATGTATTTGAACTATTTAACGAATGGTTTTGTTGATTTAACGTAGATAAAATAAATTACACTTAATTATTGACTTTGTTCAGGACAATTGTAAGGTTAAGAATCATTTTGTCTTCTGATTATTATTTTGATTCTGCGCAATTTATGTTCAGACTTAATTTATTAGAAAATAATCTTCAAAGTGTCTTAGCTGTATCGGATTCTCAGTAAAATTTAATTTATTGTTAATTTGTGGAATATTTGTTGGTGGTTATCTTCAAATTTTTGTTTAGGTACTTTGATGATTGGCTAAAATCAAAGGCTGTGATTCTGATTGATTCATTTTATTTTTAGGTCAGACAATTGTGCCATTATTTTTAAAGACCAATACATTTGAGACACGTTTTGGTTTTTTAGTTTAGTTCTTCCCTGACGTACGTATCCCATTAGTAGCTCTGTGCAAGTTTCATGAAATGCCTGACGGTACGACCTAATCACAAAATACTCCTGATATCGGTTTTATTTTCAGAGACTAATTAACTAAATTTGTGATTCAAAACGTTTCGCGCATATTATTATCAAAGATTATCTCAGATTTACATTGTTTATCAAGGACAGAATCCTGATGGCCTGTGTTATTCCTCTATTATAAAACTCTTGTTAGTGTCTGATCTCGTCTTAAATGAGTCATTTGAAGATGCGAACACTCCTTTCGGTAGTAGGTTCCAAGAGTTGATGATTATGTATACTATGTACGTTTTGTTCGTTCTCGGATTCTGAGTTCGCCTATTATATCCTTTGAGCCGTTATAATCTTTTGAGAGGAAAATAAGAAGGTTTATCAGGTCCGAAATCATTTGATGGTGTTCTTTACATCAAAGTCAAATTACCTCTTGATCTGCAGTAAAACAGAGTAAAAAGGTATAAATTCCCAAAAAATCCTGTGTATGGTTACGATTACGAGTTCACATAGTCTACGAACGTAACAAAGACTCTGTGACTAAAGGCCAATGATCTAGCTATTCTGATGCGTCCCAGCCCCGCTAGCTAGAGAGGTCCAAGTTTGAAACGGGGAAATATATTCAACAAGCAATCAGAAGCATGAGCAATCCCGACCAGTCTATCCGGAAATACACTCATTTATATGTTGGTTTGTACACCCATTTTTGATTAACAATCAGAATAAGTCACATATATGAAAAATACTTCATACAAGAATATCATATGTTATACAGAATAAAATGTCATGGGGGAAAACGAAACAAATACTATCCCGAGTGATCATCAAATTGAATTAAACGGAATTAATTTTGAATAAAAATCATAATGAGTATTCAATCTAATTTGACTTTTCATCCCGTCATAACGGTTAGTCTTCGAATTTTGAGTTTGCACGGATATCTGTTCTTCGTACTTCTTTTAAGTTATATGAGTCACATTGTAAACCGAGGCCTTCAGCCTGAGAGTAGTTTTCAAGCTTAGATCTTACAAAGCTCCGGTATACCGTAGCGATCGTACTTGTACCATCTTAAAGCCCATGTTCTTCCGAACCCCTTATCTCAAAACTCATGCCAGTGAACCACATTCTTATGGTTGGGGATCACTGTTACCCCTAGATTATCATTTGACAAGACGGACATCTCCCCAATACTGTTGTTACTTACCACTGTATTCACTGTGCATGTAGACGCTTGACCGGCTCAACAAATATCAACCACAGTTCAGGCCAACTAAATGAAACGTCTAGATTGGTCTTGAGTGCACATACACATGTATTCCTTCTTACTTCTCATCAGAATTTGGTGTCTTTAACGCAAAATGGTATTAAGGGCACCAAGATATTTGGGAGTTCATTCAAATACAGTACGAAAAGTAAAGGAACTTGAAATGAGCTTTGTGTTACTTCATTCCTGTTTTCTGTCATCGACCTATCAGCAAGTTATTGGTCCCCAGATTTGCCATTACTACAAGGAGTCTGCTACGCGTCACTTCATTAAAATGCTTTTCCGAAGTCAGTTTAAACAATGTTCATTGGTTTTTTATCGTAGTCCTTCAGCTTCTGATTTGCTTCGTTTGCTGTGGTTTCCATAATTGTTCCTCTAACTTTCATCGATAGATCATTGGATTAAGTAGGATGTAAGCGGAATATAGATTTGATTAAGGCACGTTATGTTCAGGATTGTGTTAGTGTACGCTGACTGACTATTTCATATAAGCTGAAAACAAACAAATTATTGGGGCATTTGGTATCACTTCTCAGTTTGCGCAAAGAATTTTCAACTGGCTGATTTAACTATCAATAAGGACTCAGTAGCTAAGTGGATAACGCGATGGCGTTTGGAGCAAACGGTACTGGGTTCGAGTCCCAGAGTGGACATCAACTTTCGGATTCAGGTACATCCAGCTGACGAGTCCCGAACAGGAAAAAACGCGCATCCTGGATTCTACTGCTAGCCACCACCCATCTTAGTCCCCAAGTGCCCTGGTGTGGCCGAGGGTGAAGAGAGTTAGCTCTCCTTCACGAAATGCCCTCACAAGGCCACGCGTATACAGCCACTGCCAGGGAAGTCCCACTCACTGTCTTGTCGCAGAGGAGGTGTTGTTTAAGAAATTGAGAGGGCGAAAAGCGAATGTCCGGTGCTTTAACCATGTTGGTGGTTATGGTGTATCCACCTTGGGGAGCTGGAAAACCCTGATTCCAAACCTGAAGGAACAAAGGTGTATGAACCTATTGTTGGTCAGCGGATGCCATGTGACTGCATCGCCTTACGATGCTCCACTGCCTTATGGGTCAGACCTATGGGTCGAAGGCTCCAGGTGTGGCCCCCACAGAAAACCACTCGCTTAGGTTTTGGCACCCGGACAGTACCATAGCCCTCACACAAATCAATGATAACTGCTACTGGTATCACTGTTATTGTGTGGCGCGTACGTATTTGGTGCCTTTCTGTACCAATGTTTACGTGTTCAAATAAATAAATAAATAAATAACCGTCAATTATCTTATCTCTAAAACGTTATGAAGATGATTTCCCAGTCGTTTAGTTATCCTCAAATTATGTTAGTTGTCGTTATGCGAATTTTGTACGAGTTATGGAATCTGTACACTTATTACCTTGCTTTTGAACTATGATTTCAATACTTAGGATCCTAACAGTTAGGACTTACTGTAGTACAGGGTACCATTCGTGGTTGTTGCTCAGACTGGTGTGTGTCTTAATCGGAGCTTTAAAGTCGCATTTTGATTCAGTCACATTCAGTGAACTATTTTCATGAGCTATAGTCTTCACGACTTTTAACTGGTTATAAAATTTGACGCATTACGTTGGATTTTATTAGCATGGATTATTTTTGGCTTCAAGAATAAATGCCCAGTTAGAACTTAATTATTGTTAATAGTTTATACAGGAGGCCTATGAAGTTCAACATAACTCAGGAATATAAATTTGGTGAGTTTCCGGTTGTTCAGAATGCTGTAGCAAAATCACTTAATACGTAGATGATGAGGAAATAACATACATTCTACTAAGAGCTGTACGACAATTTGGTAATTTTATTTAAAATTTGAAATACTCTCATATTGTAAATTTAGAATTTTATTTAGTTAAGCTGTAAGTGCCGGTGAAAAATCCTTCATTAGGTGTGTGATACTCATAGCTTTATGCCATGTCAGTAGAAATATTCGTCTTTCAACCGCTAGTTCGTTCGTTTGAAACCCTCTCCACCTACTTCAGTTTGCTCACCGGAGTAGTATCACTAGACCTATTATCTGACGTGTAGCTTAAAGCCAATTATAACAATCCGTACTCGGTAAACAAGTCATATTATTGTTAGATTTATGGATTATTTCAGCATGAGTCACTCCAGAGTATGATGCTGTGGGAATAGGGTTATAAGAACTAGCTTTATAGCTATTCATCTGTAAACAATGAGGGCACCTCATCCTACGAAAAAGAACATTATGATGATATAGTTTTGTGACCGACTTCAAATTATTCATGGTTTACTGCATTAAATTCCAGATTTACAATGGAAAATCAATTGTGTGTTAATGTTTACATGAAGCGATTTTGTACATCATGTTAATTTTATGATTTACGCTATGTTGGCAGAATCTAGATCCACATTAGTGATAATTCTTTGTCTGAATGTTTAGCAGCAATATTTTACCAACCATTTCTCATTATCAGATTTCCAACCAAAGTGGAAACATTCTGATAATTTAGGTAGCGAAAATGCTTGATATCAACTATGTGAATTTCTTTCTGGCTTGGTTAATGAAGTTCTATCGTTAATTAAAATAATTTAACATAAAAGTTTCCCTTGTTAATTAACATGAATTATTTTCTGCTTGCTGTTAAAGTATCCACTCTACATAAGCACACTAACTGGCCGATCTCTAATGTTTTATCTCAGTACCTTTTGGCACTGAGGACGAAATAAATAGATCTTCACACTTCGTTGGAGTGATTAGTACAAATCATGCAAACCGTTACTCCGTTAGTGAAAAACTTTGTTGCTGAAATATTAGGTGATGGGTTATTGATCTGAGTTTTGTGGATAGAGATTATGTACTCGAGTATTTTTCGGGTCTCACAGGCAACTGAAACTGGAGTGGGGGGTATATCTACTTTGTTAAGGCTAATTATACTATTAACCTACAACAATCACACTATATAGGGCAGTTAAAAACTGTGATTGAGATCTTAAATGACAAGTGTCTAGACACTGCATATGTGTACTTATTTTTTATCTTCTAAATACTCGTCCGTTCTAATATTTTAGTTATGATTGAATGTAAAGAGTAACCTTTTGGACACAAGTCAGAATACTGATATGTACATAGTGTTGTGTTGTCAGTCGCATTCTTGACACTGGGTTTGTTTTCCACTGTGAACAGGCAAAAATTTCCAACGTATGAGGAGGTAGATTACTTACCATAGTAAATAAAAGTTGGTAATAGACTCGAAAGAACCGTATGAATAAATGTATATTCTAGTAAATATAGAGATATTTTCATCGCAATGGTACACAAAAGTATGATAACATGTGTGGAAGTAATAATAAATTGAAACTACTTCATAAATATCTAATTTATGGAAGTAGACTTTTTACAAATGACAGAGAAATAGTGAATATAAGGGAGATATAAATGTACCAAACCGTTTATCGAATTGACGCTGGAGATTTCAGTACCTTGTTTACTGAGTGGTAGATAAGGGTTGAAAATAACCAACGCTTGGTCATTCAGTTGTAACCTAGGGTACTAGTCGATTTATATGCCCAAGTCACCTTATTATTATTATTCCTACCTGAGTGCACAAACTTAATGTTGGCTAACACACTGCTTCGATTCAAATTTTACAAATGCAATTTATTGCTAGTGATTTAAAACTTTGTTTGGCTGTAATTAATTTGTAGTTTTACTAGTGTTGGTTGAAAGAATAATATTATCCGGAATGATAAGTATAGACGTATCGCGTGACTTTAGCCATATCTGGTTGTTTCAGCCATCATTTTGGGTTGTAAATGTTTCAACACTAGATTAGATTTAAAGTGCTTGTTGTTATTTTGGTAATGATCTAACTAGTTTACCAAGTACATGTTCATAAACTCGATTTCGAGGCACGTTTTGTACGAAGCTTACTAATATCATCCGGCTGCCCAAATAAATGCAGAGTGAGCGGGACTCAAATCTGCGACCTAGTGATTGAAGTTTAAAGGCTAAAATTACTGAACCATCGCTCCAATATCCAGTTATCTAAGATTTTTATTGATAGTGTCTAACTAGTTTGGCAACCAAAACTATATCATAAATAGATCAATTCACATTTCTGCGTAGCTAGTTATATCGAGCACACTACTGGGCAACTTAGTCAGAGAGGTACTTAGCATATTCGTCCTTTTTTGACAAAAGTCAAGTAAACTTACTAATTAGCGTTATCGATAAAACTTTGTATTTACTGCTTAATCTATTAACTAAAGTTATCTCAGTTAAGTATATATTGACAAAATGTCATTTGTTTGAATATCTCCCTGCTATTTGTTTGATTGTGAAAGTTGAATTAACTTTATTAGTCAATATTTATGACAATCTTTTAGTGATGATTTTCTCATTACAAGAAATCAGTTGGTTTTACTGAGGCCTAGTCAAGCAATGCGCACCCACGATCCTGCTCGCGGGATCCGAACTCAGGGCCTTCAGTCTCGCGCGCGAACGCTTAACCTAATGGACCACTGAGCCGGTATCCAACGGTGCTAATGTCTAACCTCAACCAATGCACGAAGTTGCGCAACCATCCTCCATTGTATTGAGGTAGACACCTGTCTCTACTCGACACGGATTAGCTCCACTGGTCACGACTTCTCACCAGAACTCCGAAAATTTTCTCACGAAGCTAGTCACTAGTGAGCACATTGTAATTATCAGTTTAGGGTTGTAGAGATTGTCAAGTTTTTGATTGAGATCATGAACCGATTGATGTTAGACTGGACGGACATCCATTGCTTCCAGGTTTTCGACGGTGGTGTAACATCAATCCGTTCATGATCTCAATCAAAACTTGACAATCTCCACAACCCCTAAACTGATAAATTATATGTAACAAACGAGTAGCAAGATTTGTTTTACACCACTAAGTAGAAATAAGGTGAAGCAAGGAAAAGTTTCCATTTCTTTATTTTTACTGATCGATAGATACATGGATCTTACTTTCAATGGCCATCCATAGACATTGTTCCACTATTACAATTACTACTGCTAATATTAACAATAATAATAATAATAATAATTCATTTCAAATATATATAACTAACTAACTAACTAACTTTTCATTTATCTCACTGGAAAAATCTTTAACTTTCATAAAAATGTTTATAATTATAAAATTTCGGTTACTTTTTCTATTATTATCCATTTAATTTTAGTCCGGTTGCCATAGTAACAATATTTTACATTATCTTGATATGTACTAAGTAATTTGTACCATGTAATTAGTTAATGTATTATTCATATTGATTAAATTGATTATAAATTTCCTTTAAAAATACTTCTTTTTTTTTAAATTTCGATTTTTGTTTTTCTTTTTGCTTTTGTAGTTAAAGTTTATTGTACGGTATGTCATAAACGATGTAAAGGTGATGTATTGAAAATTGAACAACAATTTGTTCATTATAAATGTTTTCAATGTATCAGTAAGTGAAATAATTTTCAATTAGAAACAACAATAATAAAAAAATAATTTTATTTTCAATAGAATGTCGTAAAAATTTAAAACAAGGTGGATTTTTTATTAAAGATAAAAAATTCTATTGTCCAAATGATTATCAAATAGAATTTGGTGTAAGATGTGAAACATGTCAAAGTTATGTAGAAGGTGAAGTTGTTACAGTATTGGGGAAAACTTTTCATACTCATTGTTTTCGTTGTACAACATGCAGGTTCGTTTTATATTATATTAATATTCATACATAAATCTTCATTTGTTCGTTATTATTTTTTAATACAAACGCTTAATCGGTGAATGTTTTGTTGTTTTTCAACTAGACATTATTGTCACTAAAGTATGTATGGAAACTGATTTCATGTACAGTATTCGTTGACCACCTGAAGAGATTATAGAGTAAAGCTTGATTCATTATTGAGATCATGAACTGATCAATTTAAGACTGCCTTTGAAAATATGGAAGCACTGGATGGCCGTTTCGTCCTACTATGTGACTCATAGACAGCCGCATCCATGACACTGCACTCGGGATTCGAACCCAGGACCTTCGGTCTCGTGCGAACACCTGATCTATGGACCACTGAACCAAAATCCAACGATGTTAATGTCTAGTCTGAATCAGTCCACGATGTTGTACGACCATCTTCCAGTGTCTTTGGTGAGTAACTGCCTCACACCCGACGCTATTACACTCCACTGGCCCACATCACTGTAGTGTCGTCTAGTGACTGTTTTCATCAGTAGGAAGTTCAAACAGCAGTGTAAAACAGTATATCTCATTCTTGCGAACTGTTCAAGACAACAATATATGGTCATACTCTGGCTTCCAAGTTTGAAGAAATAATAATAAATTTATTCTTTTCATTTTATTCATTGTCATAGAATGCTTGCTATTGTTTAGTAATATAATTTTCGCTTTTAAGATTTAACTGACCAGTGGCGTTTTGCCGCCTTAGTTTTTTTTTAACCGATTTTCTATTTACTAAAGTTGATTTCAGTATAATTCAATAGTTCTCCTACGATGCATTATTTTCATGGCTCCACGTATAAAATGATATTATTATTGGTTGAAAAAATAGCAATACAGAACAGCTAAAGTGATCATCTTACTAATTGAAGTTTTGTAGAGTCTAAAACAATAACCTTGTAACAACTAAAAACGAGTAGTAAATATACACAATAATAACCAACGGCATATAGTCCTATTATCATGCTGTAATGGAAACTTTCAATCAACTAGTAGTACAATGAAAGTCTAACGAGATTTATTAAATATACTGTCATAAACCGTGTCCACCTTAATTCCATTATCAAGGAAAGGTTTGTATATGTGCCTTATAGTCATACTATGAGGGATGTTGATACTATCCAATTCCCTAAAATAAAGTAAATAGAGCCTGATAAAATCATGCAACTTACTGATTAAAAGCTGAGTGAATTAGCCACTTGATTATCGTTCCACAATTCTGTGTATAATTACCAAATCAGCATTTAAATTGTGACACCTACAATTAACAAAATGGGTAACAATTTAGTTTTTATTTGGAAATTCAGGGATAAAATTAGTCTTACTTTAGTGGATCATGAAAAGCAATAACTAGTCTCATGGCATAATTCTAACTGAGTTAAGGAGGTTATATTAGAAAGATAAATTCATCTTATATCAAGATTATTTTTACTGACCTTTTATGATCTAAGTATTTTACACATAAGTTGTGTTTATATTTTAAACAAGGACACTTTTGAAATTGACACTAGATATTTGGTTTTCAACTATTTTTCCGTTGCAACACCAGTGAACATTACTTACTTACTTATTTACGCCTGTTACTCCTCGCGAAGGAACATAGCCCGTTCACCAGCATTCTCCATCCAACCGTGTCCTGAGCAATCCTTTCCAGTTGTTACTCATCCCTTTCATATCCGCTTCTATTTCCCTACGTAATGTGTTCTTTGGTCTTCCGCTTTCCTTCAGGATTCCAAGTTAGCTCTTGCCTCGTAATGCAGTTTAATGATTTGTGTAATGTATGTCCTATCCATTCCCAGTGAACATACTAGATGAAATTATCAATTGAAAGATGTATTTTATACAAGTAATTGATGTGAATAGCTTGTTTTAGTAATTGCTTATTTTGTTAGTAATTTTAGTGTGTACTTAAATGCTTTTTATCATTTTTCGTGTTTAATCTTTGTTTTTACTTCAGACGTTTATTCAATTCAGGTGAACGAACTACCATCGTGGATGGATCTTATTATTGTATGTCATGTTCATCAAATCTTACAAATGGTGATGTACTGCATAAAACTGTTGATGGTAAAGCTCGTGATAGTAGTGCTGCAGCTGCTACTGTTACCAATGGCTCGAATGGTGTCTGTTCTACTTCATCTTCTCCATCATCTAATTCTCCTTCATCAAAATCAGATCACTTCAATCCATTATCGTTGTCAACATCTGGTCATCAATCACAAACATTACCTACAATAAGAACTTCTCCCACTTCTACACCGATACGTCATCCAGTTAATCATACTGATGGTAATAACACTCAAAATCATAATCATTATCAACAAAATCTCATTTCTGACGCTAATCTTAAATCATTTACATCTCTTAATGATCAACTTAGTGTACAAATTCATGAAAATGGGTGTTCAAGTAAGTTTTCTCTTGAGCTTCTAAATCATTAAAAATTGTCTTTAAAATTAAACAGGTTTATAATGTTCCCGTCATTAAATTATAATCTTATTAAACAATGGAGGGTTATTTTATCATCACTTTGGATTCTTCAGATGTCTATACAAATAATATGCAAAACGTATTGAGTCAGTTAGCATCAACTGTTATGTTAACGTCATTTTATATGATTAGTATACAAACAAATTTTGTTTTCTGAACGGATTACTTTATTTTACTGTGAAGAGCGATCTAATAAAACTGTTTAAGAAATCTCAATTTCACAATATGGATGAATATACATTAGTTTAAGTTTTGGTGGGATAAAATTATTCATTTATTATCCTTGATGTAGAATATTGTACAGGATGTAAATCTCATATATCCTCATCTAAAGTTATTTTCTCTAATTCATGAACACTATAAGTATTCTTATTGTAATCTCTTTGGATTATCGTTCTGATTTATGATTTACTCACTTTTATTATTTATTTATTTTTAACACATAAGCATTTGTACAAGGAGGCAACAAATACATATGCGCCACACAAATCTCAATTGATTTGTGTGAGGACTGTGATACTGCACGGGTGCCCAAACCGAAGCAGGTAGTTTTCTTAGGGGGCCACACCCCGAGCCTTCAACCTGAACGTCTGACCCACAAGGCAGTGGAGCATCGTGAGGAGATGCAGTCCCATGGTAGCCGGTGACCAACGATTGGTTCATACGCCATTTGTTCCTTCAGGATACTGGAGCCCATGTGCACCATTGGTTTGAGATCCGGTTAAAGCACCGGACATTCGCTTTTCGTTCTCTCATTTTTGTAAACAACACCCCTGCCACGAGAAGGCAGTGAGTAGGTCTTCCCTGGCAGAGGCTATATACGCGTGGCCATGTGAGAGCATTTCGAGAGGGAGAGCGGACTCTCCCCACTCTCGACCGTACCAGGGCGTTTGGGGGCCGTACCAGGGCATTTGGGGGCATTTAGTCACTTGAACAAACATAATAATTGACTTACCATATTGTTACTGTCAGAAAGTTTTAAACCTAGATTTTTCATTATCAAGGTGTATCTAAAGTTTTAACAAAAATATTGATGCTTTCTATGGGATTCAAACCCATTTCATTCCCTGTCAAAATTAAAGGCGTCACCACTAAGCTATTAACTTGAATTAATTAACTGTTTATGTCATGTAAAAAATAAACATAAAATTTGACTATTGTCAATTTATTCGTTGAATCTATTCACTCTTTATTACTATTGATTGGTTAAGACATGTGATCAGTTAAATATAAATTTTTGGAGTACAGTGAGTTCAGTAAATTTTGAGTATTTTAGATCCAATATTTATGTGTAAACTGTGTAATCATGAAAATATAAATTACATTACTGTTTGTAAATATTTTCCAATTATTATTCATTTATTATTATTATTATTTTAACACATAGATATTGGTATAAGGAAGCAACAAATATATATGCGCCAATCAAATCTCATTTGATTTCTGTGAGGGTTGCAATACTGCCCAGGTGCTTTAACCAAACAACGTGGTTTTCTTAAGGGGCCACACCCGGAGCCTTCGACCTGAACATCTGATCCACAAGGCAGTGGAGCATCGTAAGGAGATGCAGTCCCGTGGTAGCCGGTGACCGACGATTGCTTCATACGCCATTTGTTCCTTCAGGATACTTGAGCTAGCCCATGTGCACCATTTATTCGAGATCCGGTTAAAGCGCCGGACATTCGCTTTTCGTTCTCTGATTTTCGTAAACAACACCGGTGGTGTGAAAAGGCAGTGATTAGGACTTCCCTGGCAAAGGCTATATACGCGTGGCCATGTGAGAGCATTTCGAGAGAGAGAGAGAGAGAGAGTGGACTCTCCCCACTCTCGGCCGTATCAGGACATTTGGGGGCAAAATTATTTTCCAAAATGTATACTATGTGAAATAGCCTTTTTTGGATTAGGCAGGTGTTAGTAAATAAATAATTTGCCAATTAGTTCGTTTACAAGTTAATTCGATATTCAAATGTAGAAAGTTGTACATTAGAATGAAGCAATCACTTTAAAAAAAAGAATTATATTATTCATTTACTTTTAAACAATACAATTTATAAGCAAAGATGGATAGTGGCTAGCAGTGGAATCCAGGACGCGCGTTTCGTCCTATTTGGGACTGACCAATTGCAGTCCTAAACATCAATGGGAAGATTCAAGTAAAACAATATCAAGTGAATTAAACTTCACCCCATTGCACAAGCAAGTGGCTGTCAGGACTCAGTAGCTAATGGATAACGCGATGGCGTTTGAAGCGGACGGTACTGAGTGAACATCAACTCTGAGATGCAGGTACATCCAGCTGACGAATCCCAAATAGGACAAAACGCGCGTCCTGGATTCCACTGCTATCCACTATCCATCTTTGCTTATAATGCTTGTAAATTAAGGCAATATCGAGGCAATACACACACTATGCACATATGCCAATATGAGAGACTGATCCATTGCAGTCCTAAACACCAATGGGAAGATTCAAGTAAAACAATATCAAGTGAATTAATACAATTTATAGTTGTTGGAACTTCTTATTTTGTTTAAATCTATGAATGAAGCCAATGTCATTATGACTTGTTTTATCTTTAAAAATGAGTTCTTTTTTTCATGATTACATATGGGTTAATCAAGCATAGTAATGTGATGAATCGAAACTTACTTCATATTAAAATACTAATTGGTTTATTGTAAACTCGTGGCACTTACTATACTCGTGTACTTGTAACAAGATGGAAAAGAGGAAAGTTGTAAGGCGGTAAAATAAAATTGACTTAACCGATTGAACATGTAATAGTTTATATTTCGGATTGAATGTTATAGCTAAAAAATGTTTACTCAAACTAATCAACTGGTTATTGACAGAATATCGGTTTACATACATCTTATTTTCAGTAACTGATTCATAAATTCACAAATGATACTCCTAACAAAGTTGAAAAGGGCGAGTGATATTACAAATAATATTGGTACAATAAATACATTTCACTACTTAACACAGGAATTCTCACACAATCATGCTATTTTAACATAGCAAAAATTAACGCTCAAATCATAAGTTGAAACCCTCAGCTAGTAATTCATAAAAGTATATTAGATAAAACAATATAACTTGTATGAATTCTATCGATAACTACTGGTTTTGATCATCTCGCCAATGCTACCCCGAACTTTCTTAAGCTTTTCAGATTGCTGAAAAGAACCAAGAACAGTGGTTTGAAAAAATAATGTGAATTTATTATGATCACAAAAGATTCCAAATAAATTCATTTATGTGGCTTCAATCTATTTTGTAAGCTTGATCTTTAAATATTTCAGGTTGTTAACAGTTGATTAGAACCTGACCAATATAACACGAATTCATATTATTCTGCTCAAATCTTTGTTCTTGCTCTTTTCATGATAATAAAGACAATTGTGAATCTAGTTTTCATTTTGTTTTTGACCAACAAACAATAAATTTAACAAAACCCAACTGTTACTTGATCTAATCCGTCCAAATCTTATTTCATCCTAAAAATGATACGTCATAGTGAATAGCAGTTTGTTACCCTTGTAACACACTGTCTAATTTGATATGCTTTAATAACTTGTATGAGAGTAAATTGGAGAAAAGCTAAGGACGATCAAACCACGATAAGACTGTCGGATTGATGTTTGTAATACTTCAAATGCTTTAGTGTTTGCCTTGATAATTTCATACTACTCACTGCCTTCTCGTGGGGGGTGTTGTTTACGAAACTGGGAGGATGAAAGTGAATGTTCGGCGCATTAATCGGGTTGGCGGATATGAAGGACCCGCCCTGATCTCAAACCAACGGTGCACATGGGCTCCAGCATCCTGAAGGAACCAATGGCGTATGAACCTATTATTGGTCAGCGGCTACCATGTGACTACATCTCCTGACGTTGCTCCACTGCCTTATGGATTAAACCTTCTGGTCAAAGGCTTCGGGTGTGGCTCCCACAGAAAACCACCTGCATAGGTTTCGGCACCCAGGCAGTATTACAGCCCTCACACTTATCAAATGATTTACTTGGCTCATACGTATGTGGTGCCTTTCTGTACCAATGTTTATGTGTTTAAATAAATAAATTCATCGTACTGTGCTGACTTGATGTGACATCTTTAACTTATTCCCATATGTTCCAGGTTTCACTATGTTTATAACTAGCTTAGGGAATATATCGTTTATCTCATTTATTACAAACTAATTTGACCAAATTGCCCATAATTCTTTCAGTTTTATTTGTTTGATTACTTTTCAGTTCCTGGCAGTGAATACCATAAACAGAAGTTAGAAGTAAGTTAGTTTACTTGTTTTTTTTTATTTATTCAATATTTTATTTTAATTTCTAAGCATATAACGCCTCCACTGATCGTTACAAGATCTAAAATGACTAAAATCAATCCTATATATGAGATTATGGATGTATATTACCGAAGAAGAGTCATAAATTGGGATGAAACAATATTCAATCAGTTCTGATTGGTTTTTACTGTGTGTTTTTTTCTTTAATCGATTTAAACTATTACATAAAAATCGACAATCTTTATAATTATGAAAAAGCATAGTGACAATAAAATAATCGAAATTATTTATGAAAGTTACTCAGGGTAACAATTTTTCATTTAACATTTGTAATGTTACATCATTTATTTTGACCGATCATTCTATTTGTTTATCATTAATCATGATTTGTATACATTATTATTATTACTATTATTATTATTATTATTATTATTATTATTATTATTATTATTAGTGGCTTTATTCAATAGTATAGTTTTTGGTACAATATAGAATTCTCAGCAAAAAGTTTTTTCAACAAGTTTTCCTGTCTTATTTGTTGATCAGTTCCTTGCCATCAATATTGAGTGGTCGCCAGTTAGATGTTAGCGGTTCACGAATCGACATCTGATAAATGTATATCCTTTTCAATGCATATTGCCAGTAACCATGATGTCTTAAACTTTTCACAAACGCACTTGAATAGGTTATGAGACTAATAGGCATAATGATGTGTTAAAACAAACAAGAAAACAGGTAGCCCAGATATTCAAGTTGGCCGCCTACGTTCATTACTGTAGTGATGTTATATTCTAATAAGAAAAAAAAACCTAATACATTTTTGTTCAATTCATAGAATGTCCTTTATTAAATGTGAGTATGCTGATATGATACAGATTAATTATAGAAGTTATCTAATCTATCTAATCCTTAAATAATCCAATTTATTACTGACTAAAAGAATCTATTCATATTATTATTATTATTATTATTATTATTATAAGTGATTACCTAATAATAATTTATAAAGGATTTACATAATTTATTACATTCTACAAGTATGTACATGATAATGTATACCCATTTATGGATAGATTATTATTATTATTATTATTATTATTATTCTCTATAACATGAACATTAAATGAATAATTAGTTTTTATATGAATGTGGTTTAAATGGAAGATAAAATTAGAAAATTTCTTTAATTTAGTTTATGAAAATTATAAACTGAATGAATCGAGTTTTTTCTGTTAAAAAAGTTTGGACATTGTTAAATTTTTGTTTATATATAGGGCGTTTGATCAGTATCTTTGTGTTGTCTGTGTTGACGTGGCAACCATAAATATTATTGAACTGGAATAGCGATGTTAAATTCTGAATAATGTGAATGTCCTGAAAAAATCTGAGAATATTAATCTCAAGGGTTAAGATCATGAGTCAGTTGAAGTTAGACCACCATGGAAAACCTGGAAGCAATGGACGGTCGTTTCGTCCTATTATGGGATTCCTCAACAGTGCTCATCCACGACCTCGCCTCCTGCAAGACTCGGGCCCAGAACCTACTGGTTTCGCTCGCGAGCACTTAACCACTAGACCACTGACATGACCGTTATCCAACGGTGTTAATGTCTAACTTCAACTAATCCATGAAATTGGGCGACACATCCACCATTGTCTTCAGTGAGTTACTATCTCACAACAGACCTGGTTGAACTCCACTGGTCACTACTTCTCACTAGAACCATCATTGTACTTAAGTTATGTAAGAATCTCTTTCCTATGAATTTTAATTTCAAAATAAAGGTAGAATGTGAAAAGTTTTACCTCAACTTCACTTGATCATTGTATTCATTACTTCGATTTATCTTATTTAATCTAGTAGCTAGTTCATTATGATAATTAGAACTATTCAAATTAATGTGCTAATTAAGAATTCCCGAAATAGTGTGCAATCTAAGACAGGTAGAACTAGATGAGCACAAATGAATGTATTCTATATTTAATTGGTAGTTACTGGCCAATCAACTACAAAAGAATCATTAGTTCGTACAAATAGTGCATTCATACACTTTCGATTATCAAATCGTAATCATAATATGTCTGTTTGAATGTTAATTACCGAAAATCTATTATGTAATGACATTTTGACAGATTGTTCAAAAAATCACTTTCAGTTGTATTTTTTACTAAAAATTGTAACACTTTAAACATTGAAAATAGAATGTTGTTCAATCTATGACACTACAGTTTTATGTAAACTCATTATATGATATGGTGTCTTGTTAAAAATGTCTATACACTGTATGTGAAAACTGTTTCTAAATTCAATTACAATAATTCTCTTTCGAATACTTTTTTCTAATCTTCGTACATAATTGGGCAAACTTGTATTATTTCATTTCTATTTAGTAAAGATTCCCTATTAAACAAAATATCTGACTGTTATCAGAAGGGATTCTGTGGAGATTTTAGTAATGTTATAGTTGAATTCATAAGTCCATTGAAGCCTGCATACCATGGAAAACCTGAGAGCATTGGACGGAATCTCGCTGGGCGGGATCATGGATGCGTACTGCTGTGGAGTTCCATACTAGGACTAAACAGCCGCCCATTGTTTCCATGTTTTCCTTGGTGATCTAGTCATAATTGATTCATAAATTGAACTATAAAATATCTGACTGTCTTAATCATTTTATATCATCTGCCAGAATTTCTTACTTTTCATATCCCGTTTTGTGATTTTTGTTATTTGTTATTAAAATACAATTCTATGTGCGTTTAGAATGGTTAGACAGATAATAAGATGACTGAAAACATTTGTAATATGAATAGTGTAATACATTATTGTTATTATTATTCAATGTTTGTGTATACTGTCCTAGTTTCTATGTGTATATGCTCATGTTTATTCCTATTTAGTGTGACTAATTGAAAGGTTATACGAATTGTTCACTGATCTGTTTTTTAAACGTCACCAAAAAAAAAATTTTTTTTTTAAGAAAAATCAAAGTATGTGTGTGAGTTGTCTGGTCATGTACACGTAAATAATTTACATGAATGTATCTAAATTTCTCTTAGTAACATAACATATACATCGTTTGTTTTTAAGTGAGAAAAACAAAAGGTAAATATCTTCGAATAGAGGAAGTGAATACTACAATTTAGTTGGATAACAATTACAAAACAATTCATTATTTTCATTGATTCATTCATAATTTCTGTATAAAATTCCATAATACATAGTGGACTGTTGTTGTATTTTTGGATTTGGATTTGATTACACAAATACATGCAAATCATAGTTTTGATCAGATCAAGTTGAGTCAATCTACTTTAATAGTTAGTAGTAAATTGTACAACACACGGACAAGTAAATTCACACTTCTATCAACTAATACATTAAATCTATAGAAATACATGTCTATGTAATAATCGGATTAGTTTGACCCAGCATTAATGACACGTTTTGACAGATTATTATTCACATGTATTGGTATTACAGTACTGTGACCTACTTTATTATTTTTGAATATAAAATATGAATAATCATTTTTTGTATGCCAAAGATAACCAAACCAATGATCATTAGTAATTACTTGGCTGGTTTTAGGTTAAACGTAATAGATTAAAATATAAGGTTTCTAGTGTCCATCTCATTTAATAGGTGATGATAATTCACATCATGAATCAGTGTTTGAATTGCTTTACGTTATTGGTAAGGACAAGAAGGATGGGAGGTAGTCGGAAGACATTCGCCTTTTTTTACATATAAGGATAATGGTAACACTAATCTTCAAAGTTACGGGTCACAAATCGATGTCAGTTAGGCCACCTTCGAAAACTTGAGAGCACGTGACGGTCATTTAGTGCTAGTATGGGACGTCTTAGCAATGAGCATATGCGAATCTAAACCAGGAATTCCGACCTCACGCGTAAACTCATCCTCTAGACCACTAGGCCGACTTCCTACGGTTTTACTGTCTAATGGCGATCAATCTAAGATATTACGCAACCCTCATCCAAGGCTTCCAGGTTCTCAATGATCATATAGCCATGATCAGCTCATGATTCAAAACTATGGAAATACTACAGTCGCCATGAATCCTCTATACTAATAATACTGATCATTACTTAGTTTCTAAGCTTTGGTACTTGTGAGTGAATGAAAATGTTTTAAACTATGGCATCAGATTGTGTGTTAATTTATTCTACCTATCAATCTGCTGTTAAGATACTTTCAAATAAACTTATTATTCTTTCTAAAAGTACTTACAGTAGACTGCATAATAAAATTAAGGAATACTTTAAAGTCTTATTTTATTTATCGTTAAATCTAAGCATTTAAACATTCTATGAACTTAGATTACTTAGATTAATTACGGTTATGCGGTATGGATGGTAAGAAAATAAGGTACGATTCTAATTGAATAAATTTGAGTAAATTTGGATTGTGACTACCACTGGAATCCATAACACACATTTTGTCCTACTTGCGACATGTCATCTAGAATTGTTTGCATCACGATGTTGTGGTTTACATGGACAGTTTAACTTAGTACGGAATCCCTTGATCGCCAACGTATTAACCACTGAGCTACGGAGTCCGCTTAACCATTAACACGTTTAATGACTATGACGTTTGAACTATCCTATTGTTATTATTAGGAATTGAATTTTTTCAGTCTCGTTCAGGATATGTTGAATCGTCCAAATCGTCTCAGCATTGTCATCTAATCATCAATTCTAGTAAAGTTGAACCCTTAGATATGAATATATATCAAATATCAACAATTTATCAGTTAAAAGTTTACCTTGGTGGTTGGTATAAAGGATTGTCTGTTGCTCTTTTGTCATTTACAAGTTCTTTTGTTTGATCGCTTGGATTCACACCTAAACTGTTCCTTAACTAATGGAATTTGGAAGGATTCATATAGGGTAGATTATCTACAGATATCGAAAAATGAAGAGATCATTCAGTGTTATTCATCTAGGAGTGTATCAGTACTACA